GCGTGCTGTAGCGGCGGGTAGCTCGATGCCCAAGGCAAGATGGATGGTGGGGATGTCGAAGGACATCAGGTGGGATGTGGGATAACCGCGCCTTGCCACATGAAGGCTCGGGACATCCCTAATTCTAGTGCAAAAGGTTGTTGATGTAGACTGTGGTAGGTGGGGGCATTGGAGGGGGTGTGGCCCGAGCATGGTTGCGCTGACGGAGCAGGGCGTAGCGAGCGAACCGCTTCGATTCGTGCGGCGCGCGAGGTGTCCCAACACACTAAAAGAGTGGCGAAATAATACTTTTGGGGTGGTTGGCGGGGGGGCAGGGTGGGGAGGTTCGAAATGCAGGCCGGCTCTCAGGGTTCGGGTCTTACGCGTACGTGGGTCGCAAGGCTGAAAAAACCGGACCGTCATAGAGATATGGCCAATGAATCCAAACTCGGTCTCGTGGTGCCATGTGCATTGAAAACAATGCAAAACATGTCCCGAAGGGTCACTCGACCGCTGGGGTGGCTTGGAGCAATGGCTTGGAGCTTGGAGCAATCACCTCGCAGCCGCAGTCACCTCACAACCGCAATCACATCGCAGCCGCGGTCACCTCATAGCCGCAATCACATCGCGCACGCAGTCACCTCACAGCCGCAGTCACTTCGCAGCCGCAGCCACCTCGCAGCCGCAGTCACCTCGCGTCACATAGCACCCGCCGCCATCGCAGCCGCAGCTGCACCTCGCAGCCGCAGCCCCACCTTGCAGCCGCAGTCACCCGCAGCCGCGGTCACCTGCCGCAGCCGCATTTAGCCATCAACTACGAGGTCAACACGCTCACGCCGCAGACGCTCAACCATCAACTACGAGGTCAACATAACCGCCCGCAACCGCAGACGCTCAACCATCCAAGTTCAATACGCCCGCAGCAGGCGCTCAACCATCCAAGTTCAATACGCCCGCACCGCAGACGCCCAACCATCAACTACGAGATCAATCGCTCACAGCCAGCAGGCTCCCAAACATCGACTACAGGAGTCAACACGCCCGGCCGCAGGCGCTCCACCATCAGCTACAAGGTCAGCCCGCCCGCAGCCGCAGACAGACGCTCAGCCATCCATCCAGGTTCAGCACACGCCCGCAGCCGCAGACGGCCAGCCATCAGCTACGAGATCAACACGCCCGCAGCCGCAGGCGGTCAACCATCAGCTACGAAGTCAACACGCCCGCAGGCCGCAACAGGAGACGTTCAGCCATCAACGAGATCAACGCACCTGTAACCGCAGCCGCAAACACTCAAGCCATCAACTACAAGTTCAACACGCCCGCAGCCGCACATGCTCAGCCATCAACAACGAGTTCAACGCGCCCGCACCCGCACAAGCAGACATCCAGCCATCAACTACAAAATCAACACACCCGCAACCACAACAGCAGACAACAAGACAGCAACTACAAATCAACACGCCCGAAACACCGCTCACCACACATCTGAGCCGAGAAAATCCTGTCGGTACCAGATAACGTCGTCCCCTCGGCACGCCATCATCCGGGGGGGGGGATACTTAAAAATTTCCTCGCCTCAAACAACACACATACAACTACGCACTATCAATACGTCAAACCACGTCCACAACGCCACCCACGCTCAACCCTAATGCAAAACCCACTCAACTCAGAGACAATGACCAGAATCACGACAGCTGTCACAACTCCGAACACGACCCAAGAGGGGGTCACTGGGAGGTGCCCACAAGTCCCCGATCCCTGACAAAGCCAACACATTAGCCCGCACGCAGACATGCTGTTACGCTGCCCTGACGACCGACACCATGCGATCACCGTACAGGGGGGGCGCTGACGCCCGAAGGAGAACCCCGCTCACATCGCGACAACATCCACGTCACTGTCGCCCGTCAGCTATGCGCCTCTCCAGCTTACATTCAAGTTTGCAGATCGCCAAAACAGTTCGCAATCAGTCATCTGAGACTCACGTCACATTTATACCGTGACGACGATCACCACAAATCTACATCAGCATCGCCGCGACGCGCGACCACGTTCGAGCCGCTCGAGCATCGCAGAGCGACAAACATGACGTCGCAAATCCGCTTCGCAATGTGACAACGCCTGACGAGCTTCTGACGTCGCATGACATGACAACGCGAACGCAAGCGCTTGTAGAAGCCAAGCGCCACTGTCACAAGTAACCAATAGGCACAGAGCATCCGAAACGACAATGTCCTTCACAGACTTCCACTGTGCTCGCTCGAGTATTTAGCTAGCTTCTGCTTTCGCAAAGGCATCCGTGCAAAACCATCCATTCTGCCATACAGTGATATTTCCTTCTAGACGCTCGGTATTAACTATGATATATAGTTGTATATACTGTGAATCTACAGGAATCTTTGTCACTTGCAGTTTGTAAGAGTCTGGTTTGGATCCTCAGAGTCTCCGCACGCCACGCTGAGCTATAGACGCCGAAGTCGTGCCCACGCGCTTGTTTCACCTGTGAATTGCCCGCGTTGTTGCGTGTTTGTTTGCTTGTTTTACATTTCACCGCCTGAATGTGATTTCGAACTCCGGAAACGCGAATAGGAACGCGCGCTCACGAAGTGGATCCACGCAGAAAGCGCGTCTGCGCTTATATTATCACGTTTTCCGTTGCGCATTCACAAACGGACACGTTACCTTCCGCGACCGTAGAGATTCTCGACATACCTAAGACCGTTTACGAATAGGAAATGTGTCTTAGAAACGTTGTAGGTTGACATTATTCCTTGTGAATGCGCAACGCCGAAACCACTCGAAGCTGTGTTGGCTCTAAATTCACACCGCAGGAGTCAACCAGCAGCGAGTGCGCTAGGCAGTGTGCGCGTTCATGCGCGATAGTTTCCGGATGCACAAGCCGAATGTGATTCAAGTTCACTTAATGAATTCGCACAGCGCAGGCCTTCCCCGTTCCGAGCGGCCAAGCTGGCGTGTGAGGCAGCGCGTAGGAATTCACGGTCGTATTTGTGCTGACGCGGGACGTCGAAACGTGGCCAATGCCTTTTGCTGAAAAGGTTGCTAAACGTTTTCCCCCACGTCTGCTTTTGCACTTTCCATTGTGAATTTCACTCGCGCAGGTCTAGTCCAATTTGAATCCCCACACGGACTCGAGTGGCTCGCCATGCGAATTCACGGTCGACGGTGCGCTGACTTGAAGCCCGCACCCTGACCCATGCCTTTTTGGTGAAGTGTTTGCCCCAAGCACGTTTTTCACGCAGTTTCTACCATAGGTCTTACTGTGAATTCAGACCTGCCCGCTTGGGAAGCACGCACCGGGTCTCGTGGCAGGTCGTGACAATTCACAGCCAGAGTCGCTCGTGCCGGGGCGGTTGGGCGCACGGCACGCGGGCCGCCGTGACGGTTTCTAGTTTGAGATAGAGTGCTGTTTATGTTTTTCTGGAAGGATAGCTCGTAACTGAGATATCCGACCTCTCCACACATATTCAAAATTTTCCTCGCCTCAAACAGCACGCAGCTACGCACTATCAATACGTCAAACCACGTCCACAACGCCACCCACGCTCAACCCTAATGCGAAACCCACTCAACTCAGAGACAGTGACCATAATCGCGACAACCCGAGCATGGTTGCGCTGACGGAGCAGGGCGTAGCGAGCGAACCGCTTCGATTCGTGCGGCGCGCGAGGTGTCCCAACATACTAGAAGAGTGGCGAAATAATATTCTTGGGGTGGTTGGTGAGGGGGGCAGGGTGGGGAGGTTCGAAATGCAGGCCGGCTCTCAGGGTTCGGGTCTTACACAGACAGACGCCCGCAGTCGCGATGTTGGTATGGCTACTATCCAAATTCATGGTCCTCCCACAAGAACCAACGCGCGATGATGACTATTATGAGTGCCACATGGATCTTTGAGGCGTATATGTGCTTTTGGCATCATATTTATGAGTTAATTGAATAATTTCCCCTACAGGATCGTCCACGCGTGTGCTAGAGGGGCGTGCTTAAAGGGTGCGCTTTTGATATGTTTTTTATCGAAATCGTTGAAAAAAAGATGGTCCTCCCACAAGGACCATAGTCTTTAAGCGTCCTAGCGGTTGCATGGTGCGCGGTGTTGGCCGCTCATGGTCGCACACCTCGAGTTTATGACCAAATATGAAAATTCAGTTGGATAGTCCACACTCTAGTCGCCATCTGAGCACTCGTTTACCGTGGCGGGTGATCACTCCCGAGTGAACTAAGGATTTTGTGATTTTTGCACTTCTAATTTTCACTTCGCGTCAAGCTAACGAGTGCACATCGCTCACATACTTGCTCATATGGCTTATGTTAAGCTTTCAAAAAATCATTTTATGGATATACTTCAAACGTTTAAGCACCATACGCTCCTACCACACTCTGAATGCACTCTAGCGGGCATCGTGGATAATGGGTCATGTTTGCACCGATTATCCCATTCCGGCTAAAAAAACGACTAAAAAGGTGTACGGTTGTTAATACGCATTAGAGATGGCCAATATATGCACTCCAACATGACGTATGACCCAAATATGATGGGGACATGTGTATAAGATCGATATGATCGCATGGACGCAGGTGTAGCCTGCACATACTATTCTCAAAAAATTAGTGAAGATATCGTATCTTTTTGCGCCTTTTTGAATTTTCAAAAAAATGCAATCTGAAAAAGTTGAGGGTGCTTGTCGCAAATGCGAACGCCATGGATATATCGGGTGGATCCAGGCCGGACCAAGCATCGAAGTAATTAATATATGTCCCATTGATACTAAAAATCATTGGGCGCGCCTTCTAGATCCGAACAAATGCCCAATTAAATTCTTGCAACATTGGTCCTTGTGGGAGGACCATAATCGATTATGGTCCTCCCACAAGGACCATGGGATAGTAGCCATCGTCGATCGTTGTCACGTCGTCGTTGATGTCACGCGCATAGTCGATCATCGATCTGTAACAGTCCGATATGTGCGAGTACCACTGATATGCGTGAAAGGATCATCATCCTCCGCGTAGCTCAGTTGCGGTAGTTAGAGCGTCGCACTAGATAAGCGAACGTCACGGGTTCAGATCCCGTCGTGGAGCCTTTTCGCCACACGACGATATATGATTTGACACGGCTCGTACAGTGAAAATCCCCGCACCGATTTCACCCCCTAACATTGGTATCGAATCGACGGTTCGGACACCGCCTCAGATGTAACGTCATAAGGCACACGATGTGACCTACGCTAAGATCGCGTATGCTCGGGCACGGTGCTGTGACCTGCGCTACGATCGCGTATATGCATGGGCGCGATGTGACCCGCGCTGATGCCGTGGGCACATTCCACACAACCCCCGGTAGAGTAAGGGCTGGCGGCTTGCGCCGCCAAGTTATTACGAAGGGAAGATTGTCCGAGAGTCAGGCGCAGGTCGCATTGTCATCGTCATAACGCGTGACACCGCGACCGCGACACTACGATGCTAAAGGTGAGTGGCTACGAGGAGTCACTAATACTAGATACTACTATAGGGTACCTAATATTGTACTCTCCATGACACTACCTGACTACGAAGTGGTCACTCGCCTAGGCACTACCAATGTAATGCGGCACGAGGGCATACACGACGGTTTGCATGCTAGATATATATTTCTAGGGCACTACCGATTTATGTGCTAATTACATGCCTCTTAAGGCACTACCCTTTAACGTGCTTCTAAGCACTACCTACAAACGAGATCACAACGAGTCATCGAAGAGCAGATTTTGAAGATGTTGATGGAGTTATAATTTCAGGTCCCTCGAAGATCATCACACGCCATGGGGACGTGGAGAAGGGTCAAAACTGAAAATAGGCCTTTGCAGATCGCGTCAAGCAAGATGGCTGTAACATGTCGACGATGCCGATACAAAACGCGTCGAATTTTCTGAAAATTGAAGCCGTTGATGAACAGCGTTTGAGGGGGTTGCTGTTTAGGTTGATGTCGAGGAATTCCAACTTCCAGAGGGGTAGGGAGGAGAGAAGGGTCGACGAACGCGATCCGGCTGTAAATCTGGCCAGAAAATCTGCCAAATGGCTGATTAGTAAAGATTGACAAAGAAGTCAAAGGGGTTGAGGTAAGGATGCCCGGTAGACGGGTTACTACTTCCCAGAAGTCCATTGTCCAGCATAAAAAATACGGCTGCCTCTAAAAACCTCGAAGGTGGCAAAATCGACAGTCGTTGGCGAATTGGGTTGGCACTACCGATTTTCAGGATCTGAAGTAGGGGGGCGATCAGAAAACAGGTAGGCCGGATTCAGAGCGAACTCGGAGTTGATGCTGCGTGAGAAGCCAGGGATGCGGCTGAAATTTGAGTGCCAAAAGTGGGGTCACAACTCCCACTTAACCCCTATGGAGCGGATGGAATTTTTTGCCAAAAGCACTAGTTTCACAAATGTGCCGTTTTCACGGTATACGGTACCTTGGTAAGTGTGGGTGATTCGTTACATGCTCCATAACTCCTATAAATTGATTTTGATCTATAAAATACATGATCGCATTATATATACAACGATATATCGGTGATATACAAGCCAAAAAACACGTTTTCCAGGAATCAAAAGTGTCAAAAATCAGTTCTCGCAACCGCTTATTCGAGTATTAGGTCGCCCCTCGACCATGAAACAATCGCCTTTACTAATGCCTTGAAATTGGTAATGGTGGCTGTAGTTAAACGCACCAATACATCGAAATATTCAAGCCATAAGGTGAAAAAACACCAAAAAACAACAAAAAAATATCATTTGTCAAATGTTTTCCATACTTAAGGCCATATTGTGTGTTTTCGGGGGAAATCGACTGTTGGGAAAGTAGGTATTGCCCATATGAGGTGCATGGTCATTTTACATGCTAGTGGTCACTGAACCAACAAATCCTTGTCGATGAATGGCATCTACACCTCGATTTCGCACACTTAAGATACTTTTGACCCAATTTTCATGCCTAGAAATAAACAACTTTGGGGATTTTACTACAACAAAATTGCCCTTGGGTGAGATATATATGCTAAGTATATGTGTAGAATAAATTGTTGAGTATTAGATATACCTATTGCAACGGATGTGCGAAGCTTGTATGGCCGATTCCGACAAGTGATATCGGGCTGAGAAATGAATCCACGCTTAGAGTTTGAAGTGGTTGTACCGTATACGGTACAAACCGCTCCATAGGGGTTAACGAAGGTAAAAACAATAATATTTTAAGCCGCCAGCGTCTCTTCGCGTCGAATGAAGAATTGCCGCGTGTCCGCGTGTGGGTCACTGTGGCGCCTGCGTTGTCAAGCGATTTCGGCTTGGCAACAACGGAAATTCGCGGGACTCTCTTACGAATATGACATACTGACCGGTGCCATGTGGAGCTTTCACTTGTGTATAAGGGCGGGTCGACGCACGGGCTCGGCACTTATGAGCGTGTGCGTTTCTCGTGCCGCGATGAGGCGGGGTTTATATCTGAAGGGTGACTGGCTGACGAGGACGTATCGTGGTGGGCTGACTATGGGAACTGGTGGTGCCTGAGTATGAAAACGGGGGTAATTAACTGTGGGAGCGGGGTGACTAATTTGGGGAGAAGGGCCACCACCGAATGAGGGAAGAGGGTTATAACTGAGTGGGGAAAGTGGGTGTAACAGAGTGGGGAAAGAAGGTGTAACTGAGTGGGGAAAGAGGGGTATAATTGGGTGGGGGAGAATGGGTGTGTGCCGAGTGGGGGAAAATGGTATAACTGAGTGGGGGGAAAAGTGGTATAACGGAGCGGGGGAAGCGGGCATAATGAAAGTGGGGGAAAGGTGTAACAACAGTGGGGAAAGATGGCAATAACCGAGTGGGGAAAGCGGGTGCAACGTAGTGGGGAAAGATGGTGATAACTGAGTGGGGAGAGTGGGCGTAACCGAGCGGGGAAGATGGCAATAACCGAAAGGGGGAAAGTGGGTGTAACGGAGTGGGGAAAGATGGCAATAACTGAGTGGGGAAGGTGGGTGTAATGAGTGGGAAAAGATGGTAATTAACCGAGTGGGGAAAGGGTGTACGAGTGGGGAAAGATGGTAACAACTGAGTGGGGAGAGTGGGCGTAACCGAGCGGGGAAAGATGGTAATAACTGAGTGGGGAAAGTGGGAGCCACAGAGTGGGGAAAATATGTACAAAATAGGTATAATTGCGTGGGGGGGAGAGGGGCATGACTGAGTGGGGACAGAGGGGAGACCCCGTCGTGGGCCCCGTCGTGGGCTGCAGGGGGACCCCCCTACCCCCCTATGTCTGGGGCGTTCGTAGTTGTGACAGCGAAACTCGACCTGGCATCTGCATGAAGAACAAGAAGGAGTCGAAGTGAACAGACACACGAAAGCCGAGAGACGTGTCGAACATACATCATTATTTTCAAGACAACAACAGAACACGCCACTGTTGCAACGTTCGAGTGGCTATTCGAATTTCAAGTTTCGTGAATATGTTCACGACTTGAATTTTTGAATGCGTTCACTCTTTACCGAAATTTAAAGATGAGAAAGCAGCTGAAATCTGTATAGGCAGCCCTGACCGGGAGTCCCGGTGCAGGCCCCTATGACAGATCTCTAGGACCAACCGCGGACAAAGAGCCTGAGCGTATGCATCCTTTTCGCGGTCCGAATATGCCAAGCGACAAAATTGAAAAGGAGGAGGGTGCACTCACCGCTATTGTGACACATGTGATGGATCGCCCTCAAAGGATCCCGCCCTCCATTGAAGCAAGCACGCCTTCAAAGAGCCCGACGTAGCAAGACATACATATGTTATAAGACGTCACCGTGTCGGACACCGGGGAGGGGACCTTGGTCGACCGAACTCGATAAGGTGGGGGGACTTGGGACCTTGATCAAGCGAAAACGGAAGGGGTAGGGGGGGGCTAGGACATTCGGATCGGACGGAAGGTGAGGAGGAGGGCTTTGTTGACCTTCGGGCTCCGCACCGGAACTTGGGACCTTTCGGGAAAAAAACCCGCTAGAAACCCGGCACATGTTATTTAAAAAACCCGGTCTATTACACGAAAATGATTTCACGTGTGTGTCGTGGTCGTGGTCGTCACACTTTCGTTTCGGTACGTGGTCGCCGGGTTTTTAGCCCCATGCAGTTATCTCACGCTTAAACGACATTTAAATCGATCGATTTACCCCCCACAAACGCCAATTTGGACCCCTTAGACACCCCCTATCAAGGCACTCGATAGCTCAAAATGTGCCTAACGATGCCAAACAGAACTTGGTTGCAAGCACGAACACGTATGTCTTCATATGCACCTTAACAAGCAACGGTCTAGCCGACCATGCCGTAGAAATTCCAAATGCCATAACAGCATAACGACATGAGACGCAGTCCGCAAAGCTCCGAGAATGAAAGTTGGTGACACTGTCATGAACGTCGCCTGTATGGGCTGGCCATGGCCGAGCTCCGCAGGGGATTCGGTCGCTTACTTCACATTGGGGGTGTGGTGGTATGGGGGAGGGCTGGGCCGGCCGGCCCCGCGGGGGTAGGCCGCTTACTTCATTTGAAGAGCCTACTGCTGGTAGCCGGTATGTGAGATATAATATACCGTATTATATCGGGTGGTCACTGAATACTTTTCATACAAGTGTAAACTGATTATAAAGATAAACGAATATATAATGCATCTGTGACCTAGGTATCTGTCACCAAATACTGTACGAGTACTGGTACAGTCGAACGGAGTCATGCAAGTTATGACCTACGGTGCACTGAATCCAGCACACCACCCTGTAACTGTACGGAGTGCTGTTCAGGTGGCAGAGAGCGGCTCACAGATAAAGTCCAAAGTTCCGAAACAACAAACAGCTAGTAGCTGGAAACTGCTAGAGGGAGGCCTGTGCTTTAGCCAGGGCGGTCCCTTCCTAAAACTGCTGCTAGGATACTGCTTTCAAGCTAAGTTCCTACAGCTCAATCTTGCGGATACTCAGCCACTTTCAAAGTGGTCTACAAAGTTGCAGAGTTCACCAGAGTTGAAGAAGTTGTCAGTGTCAAAGAAGTTCAACCAGAACCAGAGTCCAGAAGCCATAATCCAGAACCAGAGTCCAGA